CTAAGTAGAATTTGTATCTTATATCTCTTTTTTGAGAGATTTTCAATAAATCCTTCAGCATAGTTTAAACATCCTAAAAATTTTTGTATTTGTTCTTTGGATTTTAATTCATCTGGAAAACTTTCTATCTTTTTAGATATATGACTCTGTAGTTTTATTCCTTTTCTATCTATTGATAATCCTAAAAAATCTATTTCTTGTTTCTCTATTATATATTTCTTTTTAGAGAGTACTATTCCTTCATTTTTGCATTCATTTATGAATTGTAGTAAATGATTCCTATGTTCTTTTTTATTATTAGAGCATATTAGTATATCATCAATATAAACAATAAGAAAATCACTAAACTTTTTGAATATATTATCCATTTTCCTTTGATATATTTGCGGTGCATTTTTTAAACCAAATGACATAACTAACCATTCATATTTTCCTTGTGGTGTACTAAAAGTTGTATATTGTACACTATCTTCTTCCATCTTTATTTGCCAGAATCCTGATTTACAATCAAATTTGGAATAATATTGTTTTCCTTTTGCAAGGTTTATTAGGACTTCTTTATTTGGTAAAAAGTAACCATCAAATTTAGTATGTTTATTTAATTCTTTATAGTTTATTACCATTCTAGCTTTTCCTCTAACCTGCTCAGAATGTTTCATAACCATAAAAGCTGGACTACTATGAGGTCCATTACTGGGTCTAATTAGCTTTTGTTCTAATAGTTCTTTTATTTGAGTTTTAAATTCTTGCATGTCCTGTAAGGTATACATCATTGGTCTAACTCTTATTATAACATTTTCTGTTAATTCTATCTTAGCTTTAGGATGATATGGTTTCCAAAATAATAATGAGTTTTCTCCATAAATTCTTTCTAATTGTTCTATGATTTTTTCCATACTTATTTCTATTTCTGTTTTTAGGATCTTTTTATATGATAATTTTTATTTTTTAACTCATCTTGAACTATTGGTCGTTTTTCCCATTTATCACCACGCTGGGCTGGCTGAACTCTGTAAGGTCTAAATTCTCTTGGTATTTTTAATAGATGTGCACAAGGTGTTTGTAACATTATCATGTAATTATTTTGTTTGTAATATTGAAATTGTTGGATAAAATCATTTCCTAATAGTATATCACATTCTAACTTATTGTAATTATATACTCTATTTATTATAACTTGTTTACTACCAAGTATTATATTAACTTTTTCAGTACTATCAATTATTTGAGTACTTTCTCCAGTTACTCCTGTTATCTTTATTTTACTATTTTTATTCCATGATTTTATTAAGAAATTTTTAAAAATTGTTATATCACTTCCTATATCAATTAAAGCACAGGTTGTTATATTTGTTTCAACTATAGTAACTTGTATATATACTGCCAATGGAAAACTAATTTGATTATTCATCCACTTCCTATTCTACATAATGTAGTTTGTCCTTTATGAGTTATATATAATCATTCTCTTCTTATACTATAATCTTCTAATCCATTTAAGAAACTCATTCCTAATAATATATGAGATTCAATATCCATACTTTCATCCAAATAACATGGTACTAAAAGATCAATCCCACCTATTTTTATTTCTTCAATTTCTTTATTCAGATTCTGATCTATAATCTTCTGAATCTACTTCACTTATAAATATTTCTTGATTATTATAATTTTCAATATCAGATATTTCACTTAATTCGCTTTCTATTTCAAAATAATCCTTTTGTAATATTCTTACTTTTTTCTTTGTACAATCAGGGCTTATATGACCTATTTCTCCACAATTCCAACACTTACATTGTTTTTTATCTTTCTTATAAGGTTTATTTTTCTGTATATTATTTTTTCTTTTATAATATTTCCTTCCAGGTTTTATGTATTTTTTCTTAAAATTTCTATATTTTTTAAACTTCCTATTTTTATATTTTCTTTTATTTCTTTTTTCAGAATTACATCCCCATCTTGTGGGCTTTTCCATATCTTCACAATATATTCTAGATAATTTTCCTGATTTTTTCAATAATTGTCTTTGTTGACATATATATGCAAGTCTTTCAAATAAGAATTTTATTCTTGATCCTAGTGTTCTAGGTATTCCTATATTTTCTTTAATATATTTTTCAAATTCTATTTTAAAATATATTCCCCATGAACCTGGTAATTTATTATAATACATATCTTGATATACTTCTTGATTCTCATTACTATAAAATTGAGTATAATAGTATTCCTTGAATTTATAATACATATCTTGATATACTTCTTGATTCTCATTACTATAAAATTGAGTATAATAGTATTCCTTGAATTCACAAGTATATTCTTTAATTTTACACATATCACAAATTGTTAGATTAATTAACTTAACTCTTGCATTATCTTTTTCTCGTATTGCTTCTTCTTCATAATTCCTTAACCAATTTTCTCCTAAAAATTCATCTGCAATATATTCTAC